CCTAAATCCCTAAATCACTATATAGAGCAGGGGAGTATATATTGAAATTTATAGCAAAATTCAGTTAACTTACCATTCGGACAGATTATCACTGCTTTAGCTTCCCGTTGGTCCGTAAGTCCTCCTCCACTACGCAGTGCCTGCGCCATCTTTGTTATTATTCGCTGTGTCTGGTAGCAGCAGCCTATGGCGACAGTGGGCCGCTGTGTCAGCAAATCCCATAATGCTTTGCGAGGGGAGCTCTCCATGCAAAGCATTCCGGGATATATCTGCCTCTTATGAAGCCTTTCTTTTCAACTCATACACTTCGTAGACACTATTTGTCCTACGACCCTCGGCCATTTAGAAAGAACCGCGATGAAAAAGGTGAGCTTCAATGACTACCTGAAACCATAGCTCACCTCACCTTTATGGCTGAAAGTGCGCATGCGCAAAAAAAGGTAGCGGGGGCGGCAAGGTAGGATGGTTTTATGTAAAAAAAATCACCAGAATGATTGACAATTAGGAGGACCACTTATTTAGATGATCCACCCAGAAATAAAAGGTCATCCTCTATGCCTCTAATAGTCAAACAAATAACATATTTAGATACACTCCTACTCTTACGTTTCTTCAGGGAAAATCCCATAAATAGTTAGCACTTGATTTATTACATCACATGATACAAATCAGCCATGGCAGGCCTCCTGCAGTATGCTTGTGGGATGAGTTGACTATATGTGAACTCTTCTGTGCAACGTGCTTGTTTCATGTTTAATTATGCTCCATTGAGAGAAGCATTGACCTGAAATTTCCAATTCATGTATTTTGCATTTCATACTCATGTTTTTTTTCAGCTTAGATAATTGTAAACTTTAAAGTCAGGTATTCTGACATGAAGGGTTTTAAACATTCATTCCATAATCCTATACACGCATAGACATAAATCATCTATGTTGAAGATACTTTTATACATTGATTATTTTGGACTTATTGCACAAACCAATTGAAGATAAATGTATTTTTTATGCTCTTTGTACTTATTCACCAGTGTGCCAGTACAAATTCTGAGTCATCCAGGTCATAGCAACAAAACAGGCTTAAATCAGAGACAACCGATGGTTCCAGTAATCCGGGATGGTGCTGTAATTATATAGATATATAAATTTGTGCTTATGCCACCTTTTCTATTAAATCTTTTTTGCTGTTTCAACATTGCATTTTCTTTTTTGTAAATAGATTATTCTTTGTCACCTTTTTCTATTTTAACATTAAATGCTGTTTTTTTATGATTCACTTTTAGGTTGCAAGGTGGAAAAAGAGAAGATACAGTATAATGACCAGTGAAAAATGACAGTAACCAAAATTTTGAAAAGAATTGTTTTAGATATTTAGCTTTGTGATTATTTATTTAATTCATAATGGTTTTCTTTTACAAGCTAAGCTTCTAAACTATGCAGTGACCACTACATACTTAGATCGTTAATTCTTTGAATCACCAGCTTCAGTCAATAAAGCTGGTGTCAGTATCTTACAATGCAATTTAGTTGCAAATGTCTGCAGAAGAAGCGGGGAAAGCTAATGACTTTAGGTGCAATTAAGATCTGGTTTGCTGACAGAGAGCCTAACTTCTCTACTGTTGCTGAGGATGTCTGAGGGAAAAGAGAGTAGCTTTGATACAGGATGCAGATACAGGTATAAAGCAAGAAAAATAGAATATCTGGAATCTTAAAGCCAAGGTTATATTTTTATTGAGTATTTTAGAATATGGAACTTATTTGTGGATAGAGTTATTAGACAGAGATAAACATTTCATTTCATGAATTCTAACAAATTTCATGATGATGATATATATTACATGGTAATATATAGATAATTTATTACCATGTAACATAAGATCATTCAAATATTTATATATTCTAAACTGCTCCTGAACAGTGTGTTTATTCCCATGCACTGAATAGATCCATGGGGCTTCTTTTATAAATAAATGTATAAGTGGGGCATGGCATGATGGTCAGCCTGTGGTTCTGCTGAGGTTAACTGGAAGCCCAGGTTCCTTTAATATCCGCCTTAAGGTCTTCAGCTTTGTTGGCTCTTATATTACTCCTCTTCCTCCTGAAAATATTCCATAGATTCTCTATGGGTTTCAGGTCAGGCCAGTTTGGTGATCAGTCAAATAGTAATACCCAGAGGTGTCAAGTAACGAGGTACTTTGTTACTGTACTTAAGTACACTTTTTAGGTATCTATACTTCACTCCATTACTTTTTTTTCTTCCTACTTCTGACTTCTAATCATTACATTTTATCTATACTTTCTATTCTTTACATTTTTAAAACAAACGTTACTCATTACTCTTGGTTTATGTTTATAAATATTTATTTAACATCATGTGCGCCATCCAATGCAGATCATTGGCGCCATTTACATCTAGTGAAACCTAGTGTATTTGGATGAGTCATATAACGCAAACACTCATTGGTTAGCTAAAGGAAATTATTAGAAGCAAGCAGGTGATCTTCATACTGCAAACGTGAATTGTCTATGCCATGCTACAATGTTGGATTTAGAAAAAGATGTTGAAATGTCTGAAAGGTCGGACACAGGCGAGAGCGTATCAGGAGATGAAGAACAACAAGACCTCCCTCATCCTTGGCTCTATCTCAAATAATTTTTCGAAATAGTCGAAAAATTGAGCTTTCAATTCATATAGAGGAATCTGGCTGTTTTTTTTAAAGGTTACTTTATACTTTTATACTTTAAGTTGTTTGTGGAGCACATACTTTTTCACTTTTACTTGAGTAAAGAGGTCAAGTTGATACTTTAACTTTTAGCAGAGTGTTTTTAAACTGCAGTATCTATGCTTCTACTTAAGTAACAAATGTGTGTACTTTTTACACCACTGGTAATACCATGGTCACTGGACCTTGTAGGTTAACTATGGACATCGGAAAAAAAAAACAAAAAACACCAGCAGATGACAAGGCATCCCAAACCATCACACATTTTGGGAACTTCCGACAAATTCTTGCGTGATGATTTTCTTGGAGCTGCTTTTTAAGGGTGTTCCGTGTTCACTCTTTATTTTCGATATGATACCGATATCATCCTGATACAATATCAGCTCAAATCATATTGACTTTTATTACCCTTTTTATACAGTCGAATGTAAAAAAAAGTTTGATCAAGTAATATTAATACAACGGAAGCAGAGTGTCTCTATCACCATGAAAATATTGGAAATTTTAGATGCTGGACAATAAAATACAATGCAGGTTTTTTGCTAATTTTGGACAGATCTCTGAATATATCTGCTCATCATGACACCCACCTGCTTTTATCCCTGTCGCTAGGGCACCTTTTCCTACCAGTCTTCTCCCTTCACTCGAATTTAAATAAATAATGAAATGAATTCCATGATAATCCATGGATGTCAGTGATTCTCTCTTGGATATCTGTTGAGTCTACAGTCTTGTCCGTGATCATGTTACCAAGGCTACATATAGAGGTTTGGGAAGCATTTTCAGGTGTTTTGATGAAGGTGTGACATTAGTAGTTTCCAATACTTAAGCTTTTCACAAAATGAACCTTTTCCTCCAACAGAACTCTTGTCTTTTAATTTAGCTGTAAACCATAATCATTGAAATCACAAGAATTAAAGGTTAAAATACTTTTCTTGAATCTAAATGATATATGATTTTCTCTTTTGAAACAGATGAAAAAATTAGTCAAGATTTGTATTATATTCATATTTTTTGACAGGTACCTGTATGTATGCATTATGGCTGCTCAATATGGCCAAAACTTATAAAGTGATTTTCAATATAAATATAAGCAAAATAAAAATCTTTGAGAAACTGAAGAACAACCGTGACAGATGTCCATACAAAATTATAACCATATTTTATAAAAATTCTTTAATGTAGCATTTTAGAGATATTTTTCTTTAAAAAAAATAATAAAACACATTAAACTACATATAAACCCAGAACGTCAGTCAGTGACAAATGCTGTAATCATAAATATATAGAAATATCGGTAACTTCATATCCATCCATCCATATACCATCACACTTTATCCCAGCTAGGGTCAACTTCATATCATTGTTATGAATCAAAATTATATCAGGATATATAATGATAATGAGTTATTGTCCAGCCTTAGTAAGCAGCAATATTTTAGGGTAGACAAGAAGAGGATGAGATATTTTAAAAAGAGCATAAGTGCAGCTGAGAAGAGCAATTATGTATTTTTTGATCAGTTAACTGATTGGCTGATATTGTTGTTGGTGGCTACTCATTTACTAATTTATTTCCATCATGTTGCCAAAGCCGTGGATCTGTTTGTGTGTTCATGTATGTTGTTAAGTAAGGGGCACATAAAACACACCAAGGGCAAATGATGAGCTTTATTGGGTCAATCGGTCTTGCATAACAAAGGAAGTAATATACTCATCCTGGATGGTGATGGTTAGAGCAACCTTGAAGGAAGTTAATCTGTGTTGCATGTGATATGATGAAGCCCCAGAGTAATACAGATTTTACAGCTTTATCTTTAACTATCATCTATAATTTAACAAAAAAAAAATGAAGGGCATCAGTGTGTAAATAAGATATAGACATACTTGGTTGTATGATAATTTTTGTGCACAGAAAGTTAAATTTTTTATAAATTGTGTAGATGTGGAGGTGATTAATGTAGAAATACTATTGATTGAGCCAGCCCTGTGTTTATGAACTATAGAGGCTGAGTCAACAGTATAACCACAGCAACTGTATCAGCACCAAGAGGCCAAAAAGTTGCAGACACAGTGCTTTAAGTTAACGACTTATACTTAAGTGAAATAATGTTTACGGGGCAGCTGAGGATCATTCTTTTGAATTTTTGTGTCATAATATCTACAGATGCAACTGTTTATGTGTTTTGTTGTTTTCTGCAGATTGTACATCGAATTAGAGGCTGATATCTAGCAGTAAAACTTACTGAACACTTTGTTTTGCCTTTTTCTTGCTTTCTAGAAAGAGACCAGAGGCCAGTTCCTGTTGGACCATGTGTGTAATCATTATAACCTGCTGGAGAGGGACTACTTCGGTATTCGATACGTAGATCCTGATAAGCAAAGGGTAATTATCCGAACACAGAAGCACACAACCAAAACCACAAACTTTTTAAAGTATCTTTATTATTCATCACTGATAATTTGTCTCTCCCATCATTAAGTCAGATTTGGGTATAACTGTTTTGACAAACAAAAATAAAAATTTTATGTGAGCAAATGTTAAGAAATCATGTTCTTTATTAAGCTGTTAAACAAGTTTAGTAGGTACCCCTGTGAGGAACTCTAAGCTATCCACTGAGCTTCAGGGATCTGTCAAATGCAAAAGACAAAGTTTGTTAAAATGTAAATTTGCAATGTCCAATAATTCTTACAATTACACCTTTTAAAAGGCTTGTAAACATTGCAAATGAATGGGTTCAGGCATTTAGCAGATGTGTGGAAGATTCAGTTAAACTTCACTCAATTCAACCCAGTTTTCTTTTATAGTAGTTATTCTCAGTCAGTGTCATTTAGGTGCAGCTTGAATACTTCCACTAGGTCAGGGTTCTGCAACCTGCTGCTCCGGAGCCACATGTGGCTCTTTGGGGCCTCTATGATGGCTCTTTATAGTGGCTAAAAATTATATAAAGAACTAACTAATGCACTATAATAATAAATGCCAATTTTAGAAGCTTTAGTAATTTTTATAAATAATAATTGAATTGAATTATCACAACAGAATGACATGATGTTATTTAGTTTGAAAAAATATTGGCTATATCATATAATTTTTCTTTTTACATCAAATATTACGCTATAGAAGAAAATTCATGCTTGATCTTCATTAATCGTTATATGTTTTTTCCTTATTTTAAGCTACAAATAGAAACAAACTGTTGGTTGTTTAAGATGGCAACAGATTAACTATGGCAGATATTTTGTATGTATGTAGTATGTAATATTATGCGGCTCTAAATGACTTTTGCTTAGCCAGATCAAAAGCAAAATGGCTCTTCAATTATGAAAGGCTGGAGACCCATGTACTAGGTCAAACCTGGAAACAGATTTTCCCTAGAAGAACCTTGCACAACAAATTAAATTCAAATCAACTGTATCCAACTGGCAAACTATGATGGCATCTTCCAATATAAACACAAGACTGACCTTTGCTGAATTTCTTCCCTCTCTTTCTCTAACCCCTTCCCTATCAGACCACAAAACAACATGCAATTTGACTGGAATTAAATAAAGTTTCTTTCAATTCTCTTTTTTTATAGTTCTGTTTTGTTGTCTCATTGCTTATCAATGAGTTTAGAGTTTTAAACAATCAGTTTTGCTTGTTTTTCGACTAGATCTTACAGGACTGCCTCCTGCAGCCTCTGGCAATATTTTAACAGTATTAAGCAAATGAAATAGTCAGCTCAGGAACAAACAACTGCAAACAGAATAAAACTCACTGAGAGAAAATAGTTGAACTGATTCAGCTGCGCTCTGCTAGATGTTACTCAGGCAGCAGTGAGTGCATTACAGACTGAAGTGACAAATAATCAAGATCACTCTCCATATTTCAAACATCCCACACGAACAGACGACACCAGATGCTTCATTTACTGTAGCTAGACTGAATTTACAGTGAGCAAAACGCATCAGTTTTTCAGAGTGAAAATATTGTTGGAAAGTACACAACTAAATCGACCAAAAATAGGACAAAATGAAAAATAAAAAAATTCAGCAGATCTTCCTAAACTAGACATTTTATATTCAGAGGAAAGATGCAACAGAAGTAATGTGAACCTGTGTAAGGAAGTTAAAAATACACCTAAAACTCAAGTTAAATCTGGTCTGTTAAATACAAATTTCCCATTGTGATGTAAATAAGCTTTATTCTCTTCTTTTCTCGCTTTGTTCTAAGTTTACTGATCTAATGTAACAAAAAAATGGAGGGGAATTGGGGGGGGGGGGGGTCATTTTACACAGTAGCTTGATTCTGAAGAAAATATTTCTTTTTAGGCTCTATCTGTTCAGAAAGCAGCCTTGGGACAAATCTCACCTCATAGATGGATATCTGAATAAAGCAAACACATTGAGGAGTTCTTAATTCATGTAATTTATACAGGAAGTGTATAGAAAAAAAGTGATTTTTCATGCTGCTGTTATGGAGTATGTATGAGCAAAACCTTTATTTTGTGTGTAATACTGCAACAAAAAAAAAACATAAATAAACAGAAATGGATTTAAAATGACAACAAAATCAAATAATTGGGAAAAATGGAAATTAAATATGATTTTTCAGTGTAATCTTTGAACCTTTGCTGAAATCCAGCTTCTCTGATTTCAACATGTAACACTTTGTTCAATATTATTGCTGTTAACATTGAACAAAAAATGTATTCATCAGGATAAAAGACCTTAATACATGATTTTTTTTTCTTACAGTGTCCTGTCTGGCTATGTGGCAATAAGAATAATTGTCCTGATGCCAAAAGGAGCCCAACAGATTTTGCTTTCACAAGTGGAGCAATACGGCTATCACCATAGTGTTCCACTTGATTTATGCATATAAATAGCTTTAATATAATTCATGCAGGGAGTATTACAGATTATATGGACACTACAATTTAACAGGAAAGGAAAATCAGAAAAAAAGGAGAAAAGATAAAAGAAAGAGGAGATAAAAGGGAGATAACGTAAAAATAAAACTTCAGTCTGCTTCATCACCTGCAAAGAGATGTAATAAGAACAACACAACCAACGTGACATGATCTTTAACACAGGTTTAACTAGGAAACTTTACTTTAGATATTAAGTAAGCACACAGTAATTTAAGGATGGTAATTTCGCTTCTATTTGGCTTGTCATTTTTTAAGGTTTCCTTTTTTTACTTTCATTCATGTCCTATTTTTCTCTCTTTCAGCATTGGCTGGAGCCCAATAAGCCTGTGGTGAAGCAAATGAAGTGTAAGTGTCCCTTCTGCTCACCTTGTTGCATTAGTCTCTCTGCAAAAGCATCAGTAAGCATGCTTCAGTGTCCGTCATAATGATAGGCATCCAAACATATAAATCAGCAGCATTTAAAAACCTGCATTTCTCCTAAAGAGATCTTTGGAGACCTTCCACTTACAACATCTCATTGTTTGCAGAACCAAGTTCAATGAAAGATCAAATGGGTCATCATCTCAACAGCGTATGAACATTTCCGTACATTTTGTGCCTTTATATTATAGATGTTCCTCCCTGGAGCTATAATTACTTATTGGACACTGACTGTTGATCCAAACAGAGCTCATTAAACACTTTTCTTAATCAAAGCCCTCTGTCTCTGGATAGTGTTTTCAGATGTCCAAAAAAGCAATCTTCCAGGGCGTTTGTCATAGCTACAGTTCTTTAATAGTTTCTAATAATTGATCTTACAACTCTATTGGAAATTTCAAGAAATTATTTACATTTTTCATGAAGAAGTGCTTCCTGTAAAGGTCTGCATAATATTTAAAGTTTGAAGAGAGTATGATTTTACTCTAATGGAAGTTAGCCACATTAATGGTTGTTGACAACAGCCAAGCAGACTGCAATATTATCTATGCCAGCAATTATTAGCATTTGCTATTGTTTTATCCTCCTTTTGGACTGATGGCAGTTTGCCAGCACCACTCTTAACCCCACTCTCTGTTTGCCATTACAAAGGCCACTTTACAGATGAGAATAAATGTAATTTTCTGAGTAAGCATTGGCTGGTCTTAAATTATCCACCATGTTTTGCTTCAGTAGAAAGTCTTTTTCTTTTCTTTTTTGTCTCAATGAACAGATCAGCAGATACTGTATCTGAAGGTCTTTTATAGATCTTACTGAAACCTGTGGCCTTGACATTGATTCTTATAAGCAATAATTATCAGACTACTGTATCATTCCTGTTTTAGGCCAGTCTAGATTATTTTGAAGAGAATTATGAACCTCAACATGCCTCAAAATGCATGGTGCCAGGTGAGGTTTTCAGATAAAATTGTGATTTATCAGCGTTTGGTAATGTCTTGAACAGCTTCACAGTCTTTAACAAGGGACAGTCTTTGAGTCACAGGTGCTACGTGCACTGGATGCTCCTTATGTTTGTCACAACAAGCTCAAATGTAGGTCAAACTCAGGCCTGACTGGGTATACTGATGTCATGGTACTTCAGTCAGACTATGCTCAAAAGAAAGACTGTCTTTATGTCCCAACAAAGAAAATGTTTTGGAGTAACTCCCCGCCAAAACAATAAAAAAGAACAATAACAAAGCAAAAGAAAATTGTGGCAAAGAGGGCTGAAACTGTCCCAAAGGTGCTACTACTTGTAGTTGTTGTCTAGCGGCTTATCTGGGAACGGATCACACAGGCAGCAGTCTCAGCAGACACTCCCAGATTTCCCTCTCCGCAGATAACTCTAGCTCATCCAGTCGAGAGACATAGTCCGTCATCCTCTAGGCCTCCTCCTGTAGTGATGTGCCCTCGAACACCCCCCGGGGGAAGGGCCTAGGGTGTATCCAATAAAGATGTCCGAACCTCCTCAGTAGACTCCTCTCTATGCGGAGGAGAAGCAGCTCTATGTTGAGCCCCTCCTGAATGACTGAGCTCCTGTCTCTAATGGTGAGCCAAGCCATACTGCATTCAAAGCTCATTTCAGGCGCTTGTATCCAGGATCTCATTCTTTTGGTCATTATCTAGATCTGATGACCATAAGTGAGGGTGCGTATGTAGACTGACTGGTTAACCTGAAAGATCACTCAGTCAGGAAGAGGCCCATATTTCAAAAGTAGAAAGTTAAGTTTACAAATGTACCTCAAGACAAGGACTCAGATTTTTCATGAATGTATTATATTTTATTAAACTAAAACAATCTGGGCGCCAAGATGATCACAGCTACAGATTTGAATAAAAAAGAGGGATGCCTGCATCCTTTAAACCTAACCATTCCAGCTTTAATGCAGCATAATGCTTTGTGTGTTGTTTTCAAATGGGGGGAACTAGTGCACTCCACAAACCAGTTTAAAGGAAGAGCAAATTACACGACTTCAGAATATTAAAGCAACTGTCATGATGGGCTAAGGACTTGACCCATACGCAGAACACTACTGGAGACTGAGTAAAAGTTTGAACAAAGTTTATTGAGAAACACACACAGAGAATGTAATGACTGGTTCAGGTGCTGGCCCGGGGCTGGTTTCAACTCCTTTCTGGAGAGATGAGAGTTTGATTAGCTTAGCAGTTTGATTGTATGATGAGAGAGTTGAATCTTTTAATGTACCTGAAGAGGTTCTGACAGATCCTATGAGAGGGGGAACCGTTGGGTCCAGAGACAGTTGAAGAGGCAGAGAGTTAAGCAGCAGCAGTGTCTAGCTTCGAGCTGGAGAGTTTTCAGACTTGGGTATGTTTCCAAGCTCTTCCTCTGAGAGCTGATGAAGGAATCCAGATTGAGATCTTCAGGTTTGGCTTACTTGGCAGGCAGGCAGGTTCTCAGATTAAGCTCATCCAGAGCTTCAGACGTCGGTGGGTTTTCCTGTGATCAAAGAAGACAGAGGCAGATTAGAAAAGCTTGTTTCTCTCTAGAGTCTACAAGATTTCCTAAATTCTTAGAGGCTCAGGTTCGCTAACCAAACTTGGTCAACACTGCGGCGTCGAAGGAAGGTCTGACTGCTGCTTATGAAGGGTGGTCCTCTGATGAGCTGATAATCCTCAGGTGTGGTGAGGACTCCAGCTCAAGAAGCCCACAGCGCTCTCTGCTGGAGACAGGTGGCAGATCTCCAGATCCCAACAGCAACACCTTAAATATTAGTTTAAGAAGTTAAGATGTAAGCACTAACAGGTCCTCCAAATGGAGAATCACAGTGATTATATAGCAAAATTAGTGACAAAGTGGCTAAAAGACACAAGTCCAGATAGGAGTTGCCACCATAAAGCCATAACCTCAGTAATTCGCAGGAATTGGTAAAAAAGTGAATAAAATCCTTTGTCTGATTTTCTATTCGTTTTGGGTCTTTCTAACTTAGGTACATGTAAATGTTTTGTTTCTGTTGTATATCTGAACACATTAGTAATAGAACATTTTTGATGTTTCAAAAATTGCCACTTTATGTCAATTTGTTCAGCTTTTTTTTTTATGTAGTTGTATTGTATTGTATAATGTATTTATTTCAATCGTACAGTAAGTTACACAAGTCTAATAAATTTCATTTAATGTATCTTTTTTTATTTCTTTAATTTGGGGGAAAAAATTTTGACATTAATGTTGTTTTTAAAGTTTTATTGTAAATCTGTATTTATTGACAATTAATTTAGACTTAAACAAATTTATTTTGTCATTTTGTACACACTCTCTAGACTTTTTAATTTCTTTAAAGTGCAGCCTTGATAAAGGTAAGCAGCAGTGATACAAAAATACTGTGATGAAAAAAAAATTTACATGTGACTGTATAGTTACAGTTACAACATTCAGTTTTTTTTTGTTTTGTTTTTTTAATTGAACAGTTCTCTACTGAGTTTCAAATATCTTTGCAGCAAGTTTTGGGATATATATATATATATTTTTTTTTAAAGGACAGAAAAAAAAAATCGGGATAAAAATCTACTTTACCTTCATAAAAAATTTAACCAAAATCCACTTTGGGGGTTTTGAGATCTTTGTGAGTTTTAATGTTGCCTGGCATGTATGTTTTTATTCAACGGTTTCTTCCTGTGCTCTCATAATTCTCCATCTAGTCTAGATGTTTCCTCCATTTCTTTCATTTCCTCTATTCCTGCATCCTCACATTACTATCTGAAGTTCACTCACCCTTTAATGACTGCGCTGTTCTTTCTGTCCTGTTATGAATTAGTAAAAGAGCTAATGGCTGCATAATCTCCCTTAGAGTAAATGCAAGGCTGAGGCTATTTGCTGAAAACTGGAATTACGGGGTAATAAATATGTCATGGACAAGAGTTAAAAAAGCAGAATATTCCAGAGCTAATTCAAACTAATTGAGCGACGCTTGTTGATAATGAGGCTAAAACAGGGAAGCCAGATTAATCAGGAGCATAGCTGAAATTGTGGAGTTTGAGATGAGAAAAAGCTGACGGAGAATGGAAGAAAGGAAAAAAATTAAGAAGAGGATGGAGGAAGAGCATTGAATAGATTTGATTTGAAATGACACATCATCTCTGCCGCTGGCAGGCTTTTTTCCCAACCAAATTAGATTTTCGCGTCTTGTGTTTTGGGGACTTTTTTTGGCTCTCAGCTTACGCACATCAGTAGATTTTACATTTACACGGCGTTTGCACCAGCAGCCTTTCTCAAGAAGGTTTTCAGAGACACTGTTGCCATCCCTTAAGCCTTAGCAAATAAGCAGCTCCAGTTGTTTTGGAGCTGGTGGGAGGATGCATTTTTCACGTTGCTCAGCATGTATTATGTAGATGTGAGCTGTTTTTTTTTTTTCATGGCTAGATAATACCACAGGGGCTCCTGCTCTTAAAGGCAGGCTGGAGGGGGGGAGCACTGAGAAGATTACTGGTTAGAGAATATTATTTCTTCTCCTCTAACACTCCTCTTCAAACACTCCATTTTAGAAATTTTAATCTTCAAGGCCCCTACATTTCTGACCAATCTTTATAAAAGTAAACAAATAAGTGAAAACGAAAGTAATCCCACACATATAAACTGGAATATGCATTCTGATTAGGCTCTTTTTTTTGTTTAAATAACTTTTAAGCAGCTATTTAACCTAATTTTTATTAAGTACACTTTTATGTATTAAAACTACTGTTGCTTTGAAGTAATATGCTAATGTTAAATCTTCTACTTTTATAAACTGTAAGCAGAATATCATCACGATTAATTGAAATAAAGAATTGAAACCATCTGTGTGTGATTAGTATATAAGAGGCATTATACTTTGTGATTTCAGTTATTGAAATAAATGAATTATTGAACAATAGTTCAGCAATTCTTCCTGTGTATCTTCTTTTTCTTCAGCAGCTCAGCAGCCATACACCATGTGCTTCCGCGTCAAGTTCTACCCCCATGAGCCAATGAAAATTAAGGAGGAGCTCACCAGGTAAAAAATGACAGATAAAGATGATTTATTCATGTGCAAATATTTCTTTTTTTTTTCATAAAATTATTTGATTGGAGCAGATGCTATTTGCATTGATAAAATTAAATCAGGTTTGCACTTAAATTACATGCAATACAGTAAAAATGATATGTCCCAAAAGCGTTTCATTCAGGCTTATAAGCAGAAAAGGGGAAGATGAAATAAAAGCATCCAAAACTTGCACAAGGAAAACTATGATAAGAATATAAGACTACATGGTAAACGCCACTTTACAACACAAAATACTGTACGGTTGTTAAAAATAACATTAGAAAAATGTGCAACATATGTCAAGATGTAAATTCAGATGTGTATGTATGAGCTAAACAAGTACAAAATTGACTCAGTTAAATAAATAAAAACGTTATTGTGCAAATAAAATGTTGAGGCAATACTTCATTTGCTGGAGAAACCAGTTAATGTTTGGTTGAATACAATATGCCAGAACCATGTAGTGACTCTATAGGAGAAATTCCTAACTTGACATTCCATCTTAAAAAACTGACAACATGTACTGATACACACCTTCTTTGGTGTAGATTCTCAGTAACCCAGGGAATCCATACGTGATTATTGCTTTTTCATGCTTTTCATTCTTTTGTGAAAGAAACACACAAAGAAAAAGAAGAGCAGGTGACTTCTGTTTAAGCACCTAAGACCTGCTCACCAGCAATATGGCTATAAGAGACGAAAGGGATGATGTTTACCACCACATCTTTTCATTTTTCTACTGCTCCTGAGGCCCAACAACATTTTCTTCAGCCTAATAACCGAGTATTTAATGCAGCTCTGTAATAATCACCTAGTTATTTTTCTTCCTTTCAACAATATATAGACAGCTCTGACCATAAAGGAGTATTTGCTTATGTCACATAGCATTAATGGGAGGGACAGTGGCAGATATATCATGGGAACACCAAGCAGGTATTTTCCAAATTAGTACTGAAGATTTTAACGTAATATTAAAGCTCTACAGATGCAACAATCTGATGCCTTATTTATTTTTATGATAATATATCAACACAGCCAATAGATAAAAATATGTAGTCATAACAATAGACCTTTAGTCTTTTTTTCTCCTTTCAGTCTATAATGAATTCCTTCTGCCACTTGTTACAACCCAAGCTGAATTGGTCTGATATACATTTCACTAGTTGATGTGATCTCTCTTGGAAGCTCATCCGCATCCATAGCAACAAGTGTCCCCAGATCTAGAACCAATGTTTTTTTTGTGTTTTTTTTTTTTTTTGTCTGGGAAAACCAGACAAATCAGCGCATTAGCAGCACGGACATGTCTGCAGTGAAGCTGTTTCTATAGTAACCACAGCACCGATCTGCTGTATGGTTAGTGTCGCAAAGGGAGCAAATGCTTCTGTTTAAATCATCGTTTAAAAGGATAATTTCTTTCACTGTTTACGGATTCAAAGCAGTCAATAATCTACCTTTCAGGGACAGCTAAGCTATGCTTAAATTAAAGCATATATTTATTTATTTTAAGTGGATATGTGTTTGTCTGTATTCTGCCAGATACCTCCTATACCTCCAGCTGAAGAGAGACATTTACCACGGCCGCCTCCTGTGTCCCTTTGCTGAGGCTGCATATTTGGGAGCCTGCATCATACAGGGTAAGGATCGGTTCAGAGCAACAGGAAGACTGTATGATGTTGGCTACATATATCGACAACCAAGTGTAAAGAGGTTTACAAAGGTTTCAAAATAGATTTGTTTTCAATAGCATATTCTTGAACAGGAGATAGAGATAAAATCTTTAACTTGAGAACATCCTAAGAAACATCTTACACCAAGGAAAACCCTCATTTTACAGCAAAACAGCTGTTAAAATGGCAGATTTTGCTGTTTGAAAAGCATTTAGTTTTCTTCTACAGCTCCTCTATTCAGCTCCCTTAACAAGTTTACTATAAGATTACAGTCTTGGAACTGATTGTCAAGGAGGAAAACAATCAGCTCTTGTAACAATATGTATGTTCAACCATCTGTGTTGGTCTTGGCTCCATGTTTATGATTATTTAAGTGCTGAAAGATCCTGTAATTACCCATTTTCACATTTCTGGAAGAAAAAAAAAAAGTTTTATTTAAACATTTCTGCTAGTAGTTCGTGGCGCTTTATACTGTTATAACATTGTCACTAAGTTTGTTTTGTTTGTTTTTTTAAATCCCAATTTTCACTTGAGAGTTTAAGTTTACCAACAATATATTTTCCTACTTAAAGGTATAGTGGAGGATTTTCACAAGTTTTTGAAAAACCCGCCCTCTATATTTAAAAAAAAAAAAAGAATGCACATGAACAACCCAGTGCAAGAGCATGCACAAGCCCATTTCTCTGAATGACTGAATTACATCATTACTTTTTGATGAAGTAGAGAAAACGTACATTGAGAACTGGTGGACCCACCAGTCATTGAAGAACAGGTTGCCATTGGGTTGACAGGAAAAGGATTTTAATACAATACATGAAAATAGAAACAGAAATAATTCTTCAAATACGAAAGCTAATGTTCTCTCTGAAATAAGTGTAGTGAAAAACTTTGGGGTAAGCTGAAGAGAGGGCAAGAGTGGTTCCATATTGTTATCCTGCTGAATCCCTTTAATAAAAAAAAAAAAAAAACTAAAAAAAAAAACTTTTTATTCATCAGATTTGGTTTGGGAATTTGAAAATGTATCTTTTAATATAAACTAAAAAAGATGCCGTAAATTTCTATTTTAAAAAGCTGCATTTTGTTGTTAGCTTTGTCAGCATTTAAAACGGTTTTTAATCTAAACTCTAAAAATATATTATATGTCATATACGATATTATGCTGTACTTAAAAAACTCGCTCCTAGCCAACAACATTTTTGTTGTCTGAATTCATAACTAAAATGATGCCACCTTAGATTAGAAGATAAACTGTATTCCTGACTATTGAAGCATTTGGCTCATTTTTCTGGGTTCTTGCTCATTAACGAGCTAGAATTAACATTATAAGAATTATCTTATAGTGCCACATTTTTATGACACCAAGAAATCTATGTAAACCTCTGGGAAAATGGATTAAAATAGATTTTTTTTTTCATTCTCTTAATTAACACTTACAGATAAACGTCATATCACAGTCGCTTCACTGTGGATTAGGAAGCTCAGCCGTATCAATGAAGCCCCCTGGCTGATGCTCACATCTCTGAGCTGTGCTAACAGCCTCTCACTGGCTTGTGTCCTAGGAGAGAAGAGTGTGACTCGCCCAGTTATCTCAAGCCAAAGCGTGTCTGCAGCGTATCATTGGCTGCTCTGATTAATGAGGACAGGTCCCCATCCCACTTAGTCAAAATGTTGCTTAGGGGAGATGGAGAATATGATTATTGTTTAATTAAACTCTTTGTAGTTTTTTCATTTAACCTTTGCTATGGTTATTAATCAAAAATGGGTCCAGAATTAAGTGTAGGTCAGAGGGATTTATTCTTAATCCAATCATTTCCTTCATCTGAATCAGCTGCACTTCTGTCACATTGTCTATGAAAATAAATGTTTAGCAAAAACAAAAGAAGCACAACTGTAATACTAGCTTAATTTGCAAATAACTATTTGTTTATTTAGGCAATGTGTTCATTATTTCACTTTCTCTCACTCAGATTAGACTACCATAATTTTAACCTGCAGCAGATTGAACTGAAAGATCCTTAAACAAAAAATCCTGAACTAAACCTTTTTTGTTTATCTAAATAACACACACTGACACAAACAAATGCACATGATGATCTGCTGAGTGAACCTGCTTCTTCTTTTCTGTATCTAAACGTTGGTGCCTCATTCAGTGGGATTGATTTACTACAATGGAAATAAAGAAACATTAAAACTCCTTTTTAAATTCCCTGATTTAAATAACAGTAACCGCTCACGGTGAGCGGTTACTGTTATTTATTTGGGTGAGCGGCTCACCACTCAAATGATTTTAACTTCTGCACAAAAGTTTCACATAACCAAATTTCTATTTAAAGCACATCTTATGCTCCACATGCTTGCAAGTACAGTATAGTCAGTTTAAAGTGCAGGCCTTATTGTATTTGGTGAAAATCACCTTAACACATTGACTGTTACACAACTTAAACCATAGCACTTTTAATTTGTATTTTTTTCTCTTTTAGAAATAAATATACTTTCTAGATGCCACTTGTGGTTCATGAATTATATAGCATGCTCGTGCCAATTGCTGCACTTGTTCCTATCTTTGACAACATATGAGCAAAAGTTCATATCAATAGGATGAGTTATGTTGATGCAATGGGTCTTTTTGTGTGGCTTTGCTGACCAGTGTATCATGTCTTTATATTTATTATTTTTATTTGCTGAAGGGAAAAATTTAGCAAATAAAAAAAAGTATAACAGTTTAACTTTGCTTTTATTTTTATTAAATCTTAAGTACAGAATGCAGTTTGAGAATCAAATTTTGCTATAAAATGAATTTTGTCCATATTTTATATTAAGATTTTTACACCTTTTCTACGTTTTATCCAGAAGCAGATTTATTTTACCTATTTATTTTGACTTATGCAGAATATAAGTCACAGTAAAGTAAAAAAAAAAAAAAATTCTATGAATGTCATCTTTTCCTGTAGTTTTAGCATGTGTGTATGGATATTTTTATGTAAACGTCTTGATTTGCAAAGCATGCTGACATTCTTAAAAGCCTTGTGACTCATTGTTTTGTACACTGTTATAAACCCTTGTTTGATTCTTTTTATATAGTGTTGTCACTTAACGTGATAATTTAGTTGCAGCTTGTTTTTCAAAGTGCAACAATGTAATACATATGATAGTCTGATTTCGCCTGGGAAACAGTGGTACAGGCAGCATAACAAAGAGAAGCTGAATGTCTCCCTGGAGTTTAAGCCTGATTCATAAAGGGTAAAGATTAAAAAAGGCAAAGTAAGAGAAACATATGGACTATTTGTCTATTTAAGTCAATACTATTTCGAAATAAATTATAGAAATTATTTTATCCTTATTCCAATATACTTTATTTTGTATTATTTGAGGACTTTTCAGACACATTTTGAGGGAATATTTCAATATATAATTTAATATATCATTAAATTCATCAGGCATCTGTTATTTTCTCCTGACCTGCAGCAAAAATTCAAGCAATGTAATCATTCACTTATTTATTCTTTTATAAGTTTATATTCTATAATCAAAATGTGTTTATCCCACAGTGTTTTATATAAAGCCAAATATGAAAGTAGCTCATATCCAGCTGTGGAGTGTAATGTCTCAAGTACAAAACCCTGGGGATCTCCTTGGTCAATTCTGAGGTTGATGGACCTCATTCAGTGTCTTTATAGATTTTGACAGATATGTTACTAAAACCAGCCTAATGCAGTTCTTTAAATACCTGCTACAAATTTAGTGATTTATTATATCAAACACAGTACCTAGACTTTTATTCTGTGGTGCCTCTTCGAATGGCTCTAAATCCAGCGAACGAAGGAAAGATTAGACATGAAAGATGGGAGACTAGAAAAATATGTGCCTTTCCTCACTTTATTCCTTTACGATGATCCACTTTATCACATAAATACTGCTAGATGTCAGCATAACAGCATTAACAACCCCTTTCCTTTGCAGCTGAGCTCGGAGACTATGACCCAGAGGAGCATCCATCAGACTACATCAGAGACTTCAAGCTTTTCCCTAAACAGTCCCTCAAACTGGAGAGGAAGATTATGGAAATACACAAAAATGAGCTCAGGTAAAATAAAACATGATAGAGGATGTCTGATGGGGTTTTTTGCTGTCTGGAACATGGCCCATGTTTTTCTAGCTTAATTTTAATGAAGGCAGATGTTCTCTTCCATGATGCTTTAGAACAGGGTGGAAAAAATACACTGAGAACCAAGCCTGATTATAAGAGAAATTATATGATAGTTATTTGAGATGGTATTGGCATGAAAACTAGGTTAGTAATAATAACAAACTGATATACCTCATATATTGTTTTGGCGGTAGTCTCTTATGTAGTTGGATTCAAGAAAACCAACAATTAACTTGTCATGCATGTATTGAGTCTGAGTAGTAAATGCCCTTAAAAAAAGGCATTTAAAAATATGTAAAAAAGGCTGTTATGCAAACTTTTCCACAGTGCTGCATGTTTATCATGTTTTCGGTTAATTTGACTTATGAAGCTCCTGTCCGTCACACTTGGGATGATTCCTGCAGATCAAAGGCAAATGCTTCATTTCCCACAAGTGCATTCTGTCTGAACCCTGACGGGTTCAACTGATAGGATTAACGGCGTGTTGATTAACTCTGAGCTATAAAGAGTTGAGGTGATTTCCACAGTCAATACATTTTGGAGGAGTCACAGCTTATGGGGACACATGGTAATGTTGAATTAAATGTGTACGGTCAAAGACAGGCTTCCCAAGGCCTCTGTCACACCAGACATGGATTGTGGCCCAATATTAAAAAGCAGTAAAAAATTAAATCTTTATTACTTAAAATTAACTGTAATTTAAATGTAGAACTGCATAAAAGATTCCCCATAAACTACTCTCAATCTGATAAGATGATAGCAATATAAATAAAGATGGTGTGTCCTCCTCTACAGCAATGCTGAAACTGAGTATGGAGGTATAAAAACTTCCCAAATATAAAGGAAATATGTACAGGCCATGAGGAAATATCTTCGTAAGGAAAAATCTCGATTGTAATTTTTCTATAGTACTACCAGAAAATAACAGGTATAAAACCAAATGTTTGGCATCATACTTACCTTCAGAGTAAAATTATCTTTGTCTTATTAACCTCCAACAATCTAGTAGATCCTTAACACTATCAGATTATCTTAGCCTGCTGTAAAGAGGATTGAGTCTTAAAAATATTTTTTAACTAAAGCCTCTATACTGAGGTTTACGGCTTCCTTAAAGCATTTTAGATTTATAAACAAATAATTTAGAACATAAATACAATACAAATAGAAAATACAATATGGGCATCTTTTAGCGACACTTTAGTTTTCTTTCTAAGCATTGTTTCATCTCCCTTAGGGGTCAATGTGCAGCGATGGCAGAGCTTAACATGCTCCAAAGGGCACACAGTCTGGAAACATATGGAGTCGACCCCCATCCATGCAAGGTAATTAATCTAGATCCCTCTATTAAATAACCTCCTACCCTTTGCCATATTTTATATATTTTACAATCAGGGTAATTGACCTATTAATTCCCAACGTTCCCCTCTGCTGTTTGTGCTTTCAGGACTTTACAGGCTCAACAGCCTTTCTGGGCTTCACAGCCACAGGGTTTGTGGTTTTCCAGGGAAACAAGAGGATTCACCTCCTCAAATGGTAAATATAATTGGTTTGGTGAAAATAATTACAATCAAACAGTTTTGTTCTTTTAATTCATTATTACAGCACAAAATACACAATTTCCCCCATATAACATTTTAGATAACATTGGACCACAATGACAGCTTAAGTCCTTTTACATCACAGTACTGTATTTATTCTTTCCAAAGGAAACATCTGGTATGAACTGTACCTTTATAATGTACTAAAAAGAGAGAACTACTTCTGATCCCTTTTCCTCTTTTCCTTCTGCAGTCAATGATGGGCAAACATTGCTACATTAGAACACAAATGTCAAATTAGATCAACAAACTTCTCCATGTTTTATAAAAACAACTTGCATTCATCATGATATCAATTTTATCCAAGTTGTGAATGCTGTTTGCATTAGCCTCCAACCTCCCTCCCTGCTTCAGAGTATAAATGTTTTCTGTTTCATCATAGGCCTTATTAACTCACTTTTAATGTTACTGTTGAGAGGTTTTTGCCATCAAGTTAATCACTGCTATTGATCATTTTGCTTTCCACATGGATCTGGATCCAGCAACATCATGTCTGTCTGGAGCTTGGTTGCTCCCTTATATTTTAAGCTCACACACAGACTCCAAGCAAACAGACCCCAGATAAAATTGTCACTTAAACCCAATTAAACCCAAGAGAATTGCCTTATGAGGATATTATCTGGTCACTCTGATGGCAAATGTTTTACATGAACTGGAATAAATCAAAATCTAGACAAGTCATTTTTTTTCTTAAAATAAGTGCATTTGTTCTTAAATTGAGGAGTTAAAAGAGACATTTTGCAAATGGAACAAGAAAATTTACATTTAAAATAAGATAACGCTATTGCATTGTCTTATTTCAAGTGATTGTTATCTAATCATCTTATTTTAATAGTAAAAAGTTATTCCGTTGATATCTATCTCATTTAGGTATTCAAATTAAGAGTAAATACACTTAATTTAAGACATTTTTATGTATTTCTAGATAATTTTTCCAGTGTGATTGACACATGGTTTCACCAAACATCTAACAGATATTTGAAAGTTTTTTTTTTTTATCCAATCCTTTATACTTTCTGCAAAAACTGCAAAAGAATTTTAAGAATTATGTAGGAGTTTGTACACTTCTAAGCAAAACAATCATTATAATGACCCAGATTAAAGCAGGTCCAAGCTAGTTGGGGGGACTAGCTTGGTTATTTTTATTTCTTTTTTTTTGTCTTTGTTGAATCTAGAATTTTTTTTTTCTTCAAAATAAAATCTAAATTTAGTATTTCTTTGTATAATTAATGTATAATGTGAAAACAGAGAATTGTCTTTTTTCAGGGGAGACGTAAGCAAGCTGAAGTTTGAAGGGAAAACCTTTTATGTCATTGGAGTCCAGAAAGAGGTGAGCATTGTTTCTCAAAATCTTTAGTCATATATTATGTTTATTCCTCTATCTTGCTAATAAAATTTGAAAAGTCGTTCTCATCATCGCATTAAACGTATAACTCTTCGTTCTAACATTTGTATCCCTGAAACGCCAACTGTCACTGTGATTTAGAGCCACAGTAATCATTTGAAATCAGTTGTGCATTTGTGGAAATCAATCTGAACTCTCCATCTATTCTTCTCATCCCTCCTTCATGTTTCTGTCAATTACCTATTTTACTGGATCTGTCAGATAAACTGTACTGTTTGTAATCCTGTCCACCATCACACACAATGTATATGTGTGTCACTGTTTCAGATCTCCTTAACAGGCAGGATTCACTGTAACAGGATGGTGCGTGTGTAAAAACTAATCTCTCTCTCTCATTACAGTGTGTGTTTGTCTGTGACCCAAATTAAAGCATTGCATTACAGATAAATAACATCTCAGACATGCACTGCTCCTCAGTATTTGTTCTGACTGTTAGGACACCAGCTTCATCTCTGTGTTAATCATCTTACAGAATCATGGTAGATTTGAAGCAGCAGTCTTAAACTTTACATATCTGCTTTTTTAATTTAGCAAACACATTTGCTTGCTCTTTCATCTACCTTTCAGCTGATTGGTTTTTATCCAATCTCATAAATATTCTCCTCATTGCCGTTTAACCCAGCTCTGCCATTTCTGCTTAGCATGTCAGTGTGCCTGCTTGACTGTTTGGTAACTCACAAAGGGCTGAAGATGTAGTCTTATATTTGTGTTTCTGTCTTTTCTCTCTGTGTTAAAAAAAAACATAGTCTTCACTGGTGAGTAGATATAAGTAATCATGGTAGCACAAAGCATTATTGAACCCTCGCACAACACCTCTCCTTGCAGACCTTCCCCCACTTAGAGAATGATGGAGTAATATTTATTCTCACTTTGTTGTTCATTTCTCGTGCATTATTGTATTGTCACTGTTTTTCAATTATCCTTATAGCCACGTAATCAAAGTGATGATAGCTTCATGGTCAATTAGATTATGCCATATTATGATGCATAATCTATACCTTATTTCTCTTTAATTCAAACAATATCTTACATATTGATTTTAGGTGTTTCCTGTTGTGTGTATTTGTGTTTTTTTATGATCTTATAAGAGTTTTCCACAAAACTGATGATATCACAGATTCAATTTAAATCCATCTTTCCCACATTGGGCTGATTGCAACTTTTCACTTCCTTAATAAGACAACAGTTGCTTGAAAAGGCTTTTTTTAAGTGATGTGACAGTTTTAAGATTTTCCGGTCAGATTAATGCTTTAATTATTGTGTCTAAAAAGGTTGACATGCTGTGAAAAATAATCCTACAAAGAAACGTATCCTTGCAACTATCAAACTTTTTTTGTAATATGGTTTGTAATTGATCTTTCCTCATGTACTTAAAATATTTTATTCATGCTTGAAAAAAACTCTAAGTTTAACAACACAAATGAATTCAGTGATTTGGTTAAACTTAGGAGTGGAGATCAGGAAGTGGGACCTATTGACAATAACATAATTGTATACCATAAAGTGTAAAAACAAGGATGCCACTTGAAAGTCCGTTTTTTTTTTTTTTTTCTTGCATGGATAATTTTGTCTTGTTTGTTTTTGTGCTGAAAACGCTGAGTAGTATAGACAACAATTAAATCTGAACAACAGAAGAATGTTATCTAGAAAATATGTAAAGAGGTCTCAGAATAAAATAAAATCAAGTTTTTCACTGTCCAGAAAAAAAAAAACATCTCTACAATTGTAGATATTTTAACAAGATGGAATTTTTTTTCTCTTAATGTTCTTTAATGGGTTTCACACAAAGTCAAAGAGTTATGTTTTAATAAGTTATCAACCTTGTTATGCATCAAATTGGGTCAAGTGGCTGTTAAGAGGAGCTGGTGGATTTAAATCTAGCTGTTGGATGGTTTGAGGACAAAGAAAACTTTCCTGTGTTTTATGATATTTTCTCTTTTATGTTTAACTTTTGTTATTTTCATCTTTTTATTCACTTTTTGCTTCAGCACTTGGTGATTGTCATTGTAGCCTCCAACACATGGCTTAGAACCTCATCTTTCTTTTACAAACTCTCTCAAACTGCAAGTAATGCAGGCAGCGTACTTTTCATTTCAGTAGGGAGGAAGCCAACCAGTTTGGACGTCTTAACCTGAAGATCAGACACTAAAACCAGATGATTTAGTAACCAGAAGAGACGACAGGGTGGATATGAACCAAGCAGATTTATTCAACACAGGCTTATGCTAATACAATAAATGATTAATTTCATGTCTTATGATACATCTTTACCAGAAGTATCAATACATGTTTGTTTTTTAATTGGTATGGTAAAATATAATCAGGTCTTACCTTTGTATTTCAGCCAAGGTGGGACCAAAGAAGTTGTCAATGTTTGAACGTCTTTGAACATAATATCTGCAAAGGTTTTAGATTTTATCATATTAAAACACACAAGTTATATGTGATTGACCCCCAAAAAAGTCTATGTTTGTAATACAGAAATAATGTAATTAGTAATTTGATAACTGATAATTGAAAATCAAATATGTTTCTATATATAGAATGTTTAGGTTGGCCAGTTTGAGTGGTTTGCAGGACCTAAAGGCAGGAAATCCTGAGTCTGACCCAAAACAAGTGTAAAGATGTCTTAAAAAATGAAAAAAGAAATTTACAAAACTAAGTCTAATAATAAAAATAAATAAAATAAAAATTAAAACGTTCAGTGTTCGCCACCACACAATTTCATGCCATCACTTGAAAGAATCTCCTCAAAACGTGCGGGTCTTGTGTCTCTCTTCTGTGGCCGTTCTTTTCTTTTATAGACTTCATTCACACTTTTTCTCTTACGACCCTCTGCCATTTTCAAAGAACCACAGTGAGAAAGGCCAGCTTCAATGACTGACTGAAACCGTAGCTCATCACAGATATACACCTGAGAGCATGCATGCTCAGAAAAAGATAGCTAACTAGGGACGAGCATGTGGGATGGCCTTATGTAAACATATCATCAGACAATAAGGTAGGCCACTCATTTTAATGATCCACCTGGGAAAAGAACATCCTCCACTATACCTTTAAGTAAGTGATTTCATAGAGTCTAACTCCATGCCAGCAACAGAACCTGCCTTCCCGATATCCTTACAGGGCTTATCTGAGTCCTTCTGTGATGTGCTGCAACCCAGCACACCACCACATAAAGAAGGACACCGGAAACTACAAAATAGGGAAAAAAATGAACCTTTACCCAACCTGTCAGCTGTCGTCTTTGTTTTTCGTGATTCTGATTGTTTATGAATGTTCTCTCTCAAACCTCTGAGTTCTTCACAGAACACTCTAGACATTAAACGAAATGGATGCATCTTTTAAGGCGTGCATCCTTTTCCCTTTTACTTTATGATTGTACACTATCTTCTGTTGTTCTGGGACTTTTTTTTTTTTGTACATGGTTGTAATGTGACTATATTTTAAAAAGCTGAGGTATACAAATACTTTTGCAAGGCACTGCATGTGATGCATGACAAAGAGGGAGCTGTGCAGGAGAGGAAACAGATCCCAAAAGAACATATGCCTCATACCATGTTACTGTAACTCCCTCCATGATATTAACTACACTGTTTCCCCTCCACCTCTCACACTCTAACCTCCCATTTGATATTGATCTGGTATCTCATGTTACCAGACACACAAGATTGAAAGCAAGACATCTACAGAAATAAATCCCCTCTCCCTTCCCATAAAAAATCCATCCTCTGTAAGCTACAAGCCATTTTTACAGCTTCACACTGTGGCCAAATCACTATATCTATCTGGTATCCTGCTAAGCTTACAACTTTGGATCTGTGGGTCAGTGTTTTGTGCAGCTTCCTTACATTATGTTCAGCACTCCTCCTTGTTCACATGTCTTTTGGCTATTATTTTCTCAGTTCTCTCTCTGTCTCTCCTCTTCTGTGCAGAAAAAGCTGGTTTTGACATTTCACACATCGACTCCTGCTGCGTGTAAGCACCTATGGAAGTGTGGGGTGGAGAACCAGGCCTTTTATAAGTGCGTCTACAAACACAAATGTGTTATATGTATTTGTGTGATTTTTTTTTTATTATCATTTTAATCTGAAAATGAAGGTCAACAAAAAATGTTTTTTAAATGATAAAAACAGGAGAGATTGAAAATGAACGAAAGTGAAAAACAAACAAAACTTTAACATAGTTACTGGCCATCCCACTAGTTGTGGTAAATATGTTATTTAATCTGATTATATTCAGACTGCCATATATTGTTTATGAACACATGCCCTACTTGCTGTGTGTTAGAACAACAAATGAAAGTTTAAATCAAGCTCAAATCATGGTCAAATAACTGCACATATATGGAATAAATTCACCACAAGCTCTTTTCTTGACATAAGAGTTTATTTACAACAGTCATTAAGCTCCAAGTCAAACGTAGTTCAGTTAAAAACTCTCGACTATACTAGTGAAACTCAACTAAACTAAGCTACTATGTACAAAGAGGAAGGAAAAACATGATTGAAAGCCATAATCAGTGAGATGATGCAATGATATAACAGGATTTTATGGTTGAAAACCAAAGTTTATCTTGAATAATTAGGGATGTGATTAAATTAGCTAATTTATAGTCATTGGAATTTTTCTCAAACTAATTCACAATGGAAATCCAAGAGGTGATTAAAATGTATTAAATGATTTGCTTAATCTGGAACCGATAACCTTTAGTTAATTGATTCTGTACCTTCTTTGAGTGAGCTATCATCTAGCGGGCATGAGGAATCCCATTAAATGACTTTTAGTCATTATTTGGTAATCAATGTAATGAGCAAATGAGAAAAGACATGGATGTTAACGTTATGTTAGTGTAAAGTGACCAGATGTCTCTAACTTCCATGGACAGTCCCCGATTTGGACCACCTTTTCCCAGCCAAAGCTGTCCTCTGACATGTCCGCAATTTTACCATTTTATGAATGAGGGGGACAATGTTGCTTTTTGAGTGTTATTACGTTAGAAAGAGTGCGTGAGCATGTCGCACAGAGAAACAGCTGTTACGGTAGCTAGTTGTGCTGCTGTTGATGTAAAGATAAGGAGCAGAGTGTACCTCTTCAAAAAAATAACTGACTAGCTGAGTAGCTCCCTGTCTGTGTTGCAGAGCTGGATATGCAAATGGTTGGACCTAATCTCTGTAAAGGTTTTGTTTTTTTTTACTTTCTGGACCAGAATCACCCCCCTCTTCTAGGATCTAATGTCAGATTTTTATACATATAACTTGATGAACATAGAGCTTACAATGGGCGCTGTGCAAATCTGTTCCAGGGTTAATAATTAAAAACTACAATTATATGGCTTATAAAAAACAAATCTTTGTGAGATGCAGAGTAATTCAAACCACTTAAGAACAAAGAAGCCTCACATTAAAAACAGCAGTTATTTCCATTAATCAATGAACTTCAGCAGCAATCAACAGAAAACATACTAAAGAATTAGATGTGAAATACATCAAAAACAAACATCAAGGCAGTTTGCATCACCCATGTGAGCTTCACACTTGAGATACAGGGTTTGGGCTCAGCAATAAGCATCTGGTGGCAGGGTTACTACTCAGGGGCCCTTAACCCTCTGGATTCCATGTACTTCCTACTGGAAGGAAACTCTGATGTCCCTGGAGGACCTGTCTGCTGAGACTGCTGACTGAGGTTTGACATTTCTTTGACAGATTTTTTTCTCCAAACTGTCAGTCCCTATAGAGATCATTTTGTTTGGTTTTCATTTTTCTTTTTTTTTTTTTTTGGCTCAGTGTATTTTCACCTTGTTTTATTTGGACAAAACATGTATTTACTCTAAAGAATCAGCCAAAAATCACATTCATTGATAGGGGTTAATGTCGTAATAACCGGTTTATTGTAGCAACTTATTGTGAAGTATTGTATGATGGCTTCTGGAATACAGCTGGATGCATGTCTTAGAGCCAGAGAGGGCAGGGCTGAAAGTCAGCTCAAATGTCAGACAACCACCAGAACCTCTTAATCAAATCTGACTAAATCAAGTTTGGAAATGGCTGCCAAGCAACTCCTGCTGCTCCGGCCTTCTCATGGAAAAGCTCAACTCTGAAAATTATTTCCTGGAAATTATATTAAACCCGCTGAAATAAGAAAAGTGTATGAGGCACACAAAATCATAAATCTAATCTTGGCTGCAATCATCACTAAAAGCATGTTTAATGTACAGTAGAAAATACCCAGTCTGTAAGGATCCCAGTGAACTTTTACCCAGAATGTTCACTAGGAGTCTGTGAACACAAACCTAGAGGGGGTAAGGGTAGAATTAAACCCAAAATTCTGCCAAAAAAATCCTATGTAGTGTATTCTGAATCCATGTTAAGTGCCGCCGTTTCTTCTTCTGTGTCTCTCTGTCAGGTGTGCAAAGTCGAGTCAGATAAAGACCGTCTCAAGCAGCAACATCTTTTTCAAAGGCAGCAGGTTCAGATACAGGTGAGACAGAAGATCATCTTCATCTGCATGGAAGTGGTAAAGAATATTCTGAAAATAAAACATACACGACATGATTTTAAAAATAAGTAATGAACAAACATAAAAGGCAAGGTTCCAAAAAAAAGGAAGGAATTAAATTTATACTTTTTACTTTACCATGTCTGGAAAAGCGCATGTTTATTTACAGACAGACAGACAGACAG